GCGGGTGCGCGCTACTGACGAGTACAAGTAGGACGAAACGCCCGGCTAGCGCTTTCCGGGATGTGTGGTGGCTGTCTGCCTGTGTCTGCGACGAACGTACACAAAATACCAAAGTCTGTTGTGGATGCAATTATTTCTCGTTGTCGATGTACGTTGTAAAGTATTGTAAGAACACAGAAACGCAAGGACACAGCTGTTATGTGTACACACGACCAACTCACTTTCGCATGATAACATGGATAGTCGTTCACACACATGAGTCACGTGCGTGACCAGGCAGACCATGGCTCGTGATAACCAATCACAACAGTCCTCCACAGCTAGATTAAGAGTATCCAGCTTGATTGTGTTCTACGCTGCCCCTCTCACGAAGTGATCGCCATGGCTATATAGGTGGCTCAGCGTGATCTTCATTTGGTACTGATTCTGGCGCTATTCTCAGAGGTGCAGGCGATGGGCCAGGTGCTTGTTCCTCTGCAGCGCACACAGGCTGTCGTCGCACTTGGTTCAAGTGACGTTGAACTATTCGCCCATCTTACAATTCCGCTTCCACTGTATACTGGCGACGGAATTGTTAAATACTCATGGCTGTTTCCTTTGAGCAGTTGCAATCCCTCTTTCAGCAGCAGCAATTATATTTTGAAAACTCTCAGCGGCAGTTAATTGAATTGTTATCAGAAAACCTGCACATGCAAGTGGATTGGGAACCGGAACACAAGTTGACCTCACATGAAATTGAAGCTGAATGCCATAGGCTGCTCAATTTGGACAATGACACAAAAATGATTGAAGTTTCCGATTCCAGAACAGAATCCCAATCCTATCATACAGTTATTCGTGGCCAACATTGGAGCTGTAATGTATCGGACCGGAAACCCCCGACAGCATTTTGGAACGGTGGTGGGAGGCAAACAGTGAGAGATTGGGCCTACAAAATTCCTTACTCTCATGAAGCAAGCAAATTCTGGCGCGTGCGTACTCCAAGGGCGCAGCCATGCTTGAAACTGAAAAGAACCGGGTTCCACGACGCATCAAGATTTGCAGGGAAGAGAAGACGCTTGACAATGAAACGTGATTATGTCCTCATGTCCCTGCAGCCACAAACAGTGTCTGCTATCACGATGATTTCCCAAATGTTAAGGACAAAAACTGACAAGACTTTGGCAAAATTAACCAAACTCATGGCCCAAAATGCACCAGGGGTACTGTTACAGCCAGACAGAATAATCGCCTGTGAACAAATACTCGAGATAATGCAACGCCTGCAAACCATTCACCTAGCCACATGTGCGGACATTAATCTGTCCAAAGTGGAAGGAATTCAGAAGTTATACGTGCTCAGGGATAGATGTCCCGAATACTCCTGTGCTGACAACGTATTAGAACGAACGGCACTGCACACTTGGTCTGAGTCCGAACCATTTTGGTGTTGGATGCATGTGGACCCAGGTGGGTCCTCTCGTCCGGAGACCTATGTGACTTCCAGGTAACTCATTTTTAAGGGAGGGTGTTGGAGGTGCAAAGAAAATACAGCAACTCTTGTGTAGTCGTTCAGGACTGCAGACTTTCGTTCTGCTATGGAAGTTCACCGATGTTTGTTTTAACGCATCATTTCGTCATTCCTATTGGCTATTTGGAGTCGTTGGTTTTGCCTTCAGATCGCAGGCATACTTTGACGATATCCCTCTCACCTTACGTCCTTCGTGTGTACTTGATTGGTTCCTCATTTGCTCCGTTTTTATTGGCTTTAATTGTCCGCATGTTTTCCTCACCCTGGTTGGCCTTTATGTTTGTGCGTTATGCTATATAAGTAACTGGTTTCCCTATGTAAAGAACTCTTGAATCTCTGTCCCTGATCGCTCGTGTTCTCACTAATGTCAGTGGGTGAAAGCTTTCACGGGGCTCCGACACAACACACAGCACTACCTCTTGTCGATCTAGTAATCTCCCAGATCCAAGTTCCATCCATTGGCCTCAGTTTAACATACACTCTGTCGCCTGCCTCAACCACATGATCCTTTGTTTTCATGTCGTTGCGTTGTTTCATCGCAGACTAGCATTTACCGACCGTTCGATTCAGATCGGGTATAATCAGATCCAACTGGGTGCGCAGACGTCGTCACCCCCTCAGAAGTTCACACGGTGGATGAGCAGTGGTAGTGTGTGGCGTAATGCGATGTTGTAATAGGAATTTATCCATGCGGGTTTGTAAAGTTCGTAAAGATCGGAATGGCCGAGGTCCACCTCAAGTGAACCGAAGCCTCATTAGAGGTTGCTTGTAGCAACCCAAGCACCAGCGGATTCTCCAAGTTCACCTTTGAATTCATTTCCGCTGTATCAACTTTGCTCGCGGATCTCAGTGGCATAGTGCTCATGGTGTCAAACATGAGCCACTAGGCTCTGAGTTCCAGCCCAACTCAGGCTATCTCCAACTGATGAGTCCTAACCAGGACGAAACCGCGGTCTTGGGGTGCCCGTGTTGGGATGAGCAACACTATAAAGGGTTTTTTTACTTACGGTCTTTAAGATCGGAATGGCCGAGGTCCACCTCAAGTGAACCGAATCCTCAATAGAGGTTGCTTGTAGCAACCCAAGCACCAGCGGATTCTCCAAGTCCACCTTTAAAGTTCCGGTCTGTTGTTCCATTCCATTTTGACGTAGGAATTGTGCAAGCTCCTTGCTGGTAAATGTCGGGCCGTGATCTGAAACAACCGTACATGGTACACCACGTGTAGTGAATACATTTCTTAAGATGTGCACAGTGGTCGACCCAGTAATGCATGTGATCGCCCGAGCTTCGATCCATTTGGATTGGGCGTCCACTACAATCAGAACCATGAAGCCGTCGATGGGTCCACAGAAGTCAATGTGTATTCTGTCCCACATGCACGAGGGCCATTGCTATGGAGACATTGGCACCGGTTATGGGGATGATTTATTTTCTTGACAGCTAGCACACAATTGTATGAATTGTTCTATCTCATCATAGACTCCCGGCAACTAGATTTATTTACGTGCTAGTGCCTTCATCTTTGAATTTCCTTGGTGACCCAAATGAAGTTCCCGCAGGATTGTTTGACGATATCGTTTGGGGACGATGACTCGAGAACCCCAAAGTATGCAACCGTCCTCGAGGCTTAATTCATCTTTTCGAGTGTGAAATGCTCTTAGACTTTCATCTACCCGGTCCAACCAATCAGTTAGAATATACTCACGCACGTTCGACAGTTCCGGGTCACTCTTGTTTCCGATTTTATTTCCATTGCTGCCACTGGCGAATCATCCAACCCAGATATTACTTGTACCAATTCTCTCAAACCTGGCATGTGGCTCAGAGCCTCCCGTAATGGAAGTCGGCTGAGAGCATCGGCACAATGATTCTCCTTCCCGGGAAGATAGTCCAGTTGATACTGATATTCAGCGAGTAGTAGAGTTCAGCGAATCATCCGGGGCGAAGCCATTTGGGGTATCGCTGTTGATTCACCCAGAATTCCCAGTAATGGCTTGTGGTCTGTGTGTATTTCAAATCTCTGCTCGAATAGGTATTGGTGAACGCGCTCAACACCAAAAATGACCTCCAAATCCTCCTTGTCAGTTTGGGCCTAATTTCCATCGGTTTACGATAGGGTCTGAGAGGCAAATGTAACTGGTTTGTTTACTCTGTTCGCGTCAGGATGTAACATGGCGGCTCCGACTCCGTACAGTGATGCATCACATGTCAGCGTCACGTACATTTTGGGGAGTCAAAGTGGACCGAAACCGGTGGACTGGCCAATGCAATTTTAGGTTGACGAAAAGCCAATTCCCTCTTCTCAGACCACACCCACTGAGTGCCCTTGAACAATAACCGATGCAACGGGTGTAACACTGTGGCTGATTGCCGAACCAACCCTGAGTAGTGATTATACATTCCCAAGAACGACCACAACTGGTGTTGATTTCCTGGTTGTATTGCCTCAAGGATTGGTCGGATTTGCTACTCGACCGTCTTCAGTCCCTAAGCACTCATACGGAAACCCAACTAATCTACGTGGGGAGCCAAGAATACGCATCTTTCACGTTTCTGCCTCAAACCATTTGCCTTCAC